CGCGGGAGAAAGATGAGGCTTTCTACTCCCGTAAGGATTTACACCCTTGGAAACCCTGTACAGGGTCGCTATGGGTCAGAACCGACTCGACGGCATTTAACAACAACAACAACAACATTGTGTTCTTTATGGCTCTACCTCTTTAATTCACATTTTCTTTTTGCTGCATTCTATGGTGTGTACTCTGATCAAACATTTTTCTGACAATTGTTTGTTTAGTACTCTCACCTTCATTTAAGTATGTTAAAAGGTTTAAATATTCCCTTTTATTAAACATAAGCTGTAACCTAAGTTGTATGTCACCAAATAACATGGAACACCTCTTCCTTCTGTACTGATTAACTAGCTCCTAACACATTCCTCAGTGTTTAACGTGAGGTGCTTATTTGAGATTCATATCAGCAAGTCTAAGTAAAGCTGGAAGATGCCAAGTTCTATGTAAGTCTTAAAGATAATTCTGAATTTTGTTTCTTTTAATATAGAACTTGATAAACACTCTTATTTATTTTCTTTGTATAAAAATTACCTTGAATTGCTTAATGAAATTTCTTACAGCAAATTAAGGAAAAGGAATTTAGTCTTCTTCATATTTTATGTTGTTGTTGTTAAGTGCTGTTGAGTCGATTCTGACTCATAGCTGGTGTGTTTGAACCGCTGACCTTGGCTATTAGCAGTCCAGTACCACACCAGGATTACACAGCTGTCTATTAAAAAATTAGAATCAGAGAATTTAAGAGCTTTAATACTTTATTCAGTTAGCGAATAAGGCCAAGAAATGAAATTAACCTGCCCTGGTCACATAATTGTGGCAGAGACATGATGAAAACCCAAGACTCTTAATTTCCTGGCACTTTTTTTCGACTGCATCTGTTTTAGGTCTTCAAAATTTTCTTTGAGTGCATATTTCTGTGGAATGAGTTATACAAGGTCAATAACAATATGAAGGTTTTGGTGTTGTTCAGATTAATATTTGTGATTCTGATATTTTATGCAGTGTCTACCTGTTGGCTTATGAGTTTAAGGTCATGTTGTAATCCCAGGGTTATAAATTGAATTATCAGTCAATGGGGTAACATATTAAAATAGTTTCATGGAGTAGGTAATTAAAAAATAGGTGTACTTTTTTGATACTCCTAAATGATATATCTTTAATATGATGTTTCTGTTTAAAACCTAATATCTTGAAGGGGTTGTTGTTGTTAGGTGCCACTGAGACAGTACCAATTCATAGAGACCCCTATACACAACAGAACTTAACACTGCCTGGTCCCATGCCAATCTCACAATTATTGTTATACCTGAGCCCATTGCTGCCACCACTATGCCAGTCTATCTTATTGGGGATTTTCCTCATTTTCTCTGACCCTCCACTTTACCAAACATGATATCCTTCTCCAGGGACCGATCCTCCCTGATAATATGTCCAAAATATGAGAGACAAAGTCTGGCCATCCTGACTTTCAAGGAGCATTCTGGCTATACTTCTTCCAGTACAGATCTGTTTGTTCTTTTGGCTCTCCATGGTACTTTTTTAAAAAGATTTTATTATGAATTAAGTGATAGTTTACATTGCGAAAAATCGGTTTTGGACTCAACAAAATGCACTTTGCTTCACTGCAATGATTAAAATCCCCTCCATGCACCATTGGCCAACAGTATTTGCCTCTATTTCCTCCCCTTTCTCCCTTGATGTACTCAGAAACACTCGGGGATATACAGTAGTTTAAACAACC